ATCTCATCTTCATTGAACTAGAGCTTGAATATTAGCTTTAATAAATTTTCATACTTTTTTGCATCTATATAAGTGATCCTTTAATCAAGTAACTAAATTTACAAAGTTCTTTCCACAGTAGTTACACTTTTGGCATAGCATAGTTTAACTAAGTTTATTAATTTTCATAACTTTTGTAAAGTTCAAGTGAATTTCTTTTAGTAGAGGTTTCTTATGAAGCATAACTATTTATAATTTTATATTTTAAAATAGATAATGATAAAGTTGTATTTTGATAAAATTAATTAAATAAACACTACCCCATTGTTACTAGAGTTGGGGCATAAAAAATTATCAGGGCATAACATAATACCTAAATCATCACATGATAACAATTATTAAAACATCACAAGATAATTAATAATTTCCATGTGATGAGTAACATTACGTACTCATGTCCTTGTGACAAATTGAAATTAACCCCATGCCTTAACCCTAATTGTTATGTATTATAATTATATCAGAATATATTAAATCATTTAAAACAGTTTTAAATCAAACAAACATGTTTTTAAATATTCTATTTTAAAACATTTTTTATTCCTAAGCACTACTTTTAAAATGAGTTTAAAGAAAGTTCAAGTAGTTAATTATATAATAGAGTAAAAGATGCTTTGTCAATTAGTAAAATCTGCATCAATTAGCTAAATCAGATAAAGCCTAGATGGCAGCTAACCTAGTATTGCCTATAAAAAAATATAGCTAATGTTAATATATGGAATTGAAGTTCTAATAATTCACTGAATTTTTTTTTTTTTTATGATAGTAATTCATACAGTATTATGCACTTAATAATAATAATATATATTTTTCTGTTAACTAAACACTTTATTATCTGTTTTAAATAGTGTATGTATAAAAATAATTAAAAGTTAATTCGTAATCCGTATAAGAACCAGTGAAATTGATTAGCAAATCTCGGAGAAAGATTTGCAGATCATTTATAAAAAGAGTAAAAGAAGCGAATCTTTGCCCTAAATATAACTATGTTAAATTAATTTGTTGTTAAGTAGAAAAGTAGTACAAATGATCGCACAAATCACAAAGAACAATTCTTGGTATTTTTTTTTTAGAACGATTCAATTTTTAAAAACTTTATATTGGGGAAACGTCAGATTCCGCCCTTTAAATTCTATAGCATTTTACAATTTGGTATGTATGTATATCAAATTCTATTGGTTATTATTGCTCAAAAATCATTTGTGTCATTTGTGCCGTTTTCTGCTTATGTAGCGCTGCATATCTTGCAATCCAGTTTTGAATCGTCGACACCTTCGGAATATCGCTTTCCTCCAAACTACCTATTTTTACTAATTCCGTTAATTCCTTCCACATTTCTTCTGCACTATACCTTTCGCTTTTATTAGCGTTACCAGCTAAAAAATATCCTTCCAAGTAGGCTATTACACGTTTACTAATTCTTTTACCCGCCCCTTTTTTTTCGAATTTTTGATTTTCCTTTAACGCCCAACCCAATTTAAGTGGAAATTCTTCATGCAGGCTTTTATATTACAACCATTAGCTATATATATAAGGATTACGGTGCTAAACAAAATTTTAATATTATCTTTCTTCATTGCTTAGTATTCTTAGTTGATCGACCGTCGAACGTTTGGAAAAAGATCCTAAAATACAGATCAGATAGCATTATAACTTCGAATAGTAGTAATAAAGAGTAGTACGTTACCTGATCTATGTTGCAGTGGAACAAGCCACGGGGACTTGGGAATGGAATGTTGAGAAACTTGTGGATTCGGTTTTTGTATTTCTTTTTTTTTTAGTTGCTCTAACTTTGCAAGTGAAAAATTGTTCCATTCACCAATATTAGGCATTGCGCGTGCTCGAATATATCCTGTATATTCATCATCACACGGCCACTCCCACAAGAACCAGTTTGAATTACCGGGTAAAGTGTTGATCCGTTTTTTATCTAAAATTAATAAAAAGGTTAATATATCAAATAATTTGATATTTTATATACTTATAATTTATTACCTTTAGTACGTTCTGGCTCCAAATGAGCTACTGATGTTCCACGAATTCCTTCAATTGCTAATTCAATGTCTGATCCCTTCGTAATATCAAATCCTAAGCGAACACGACGGCTTATTGCATGTGAAATCTAGAAATATCTGAATGGTAAAACAAATGTATTAAATGTGGCAGATTAAAATGAAATCAGAATTAAAATGAAATTTTATATAATATAAAACAGACTGCCACCAAAAAATATAAAATTTTTTGAATATATTTTTTTGGTTTTTTTTTTTTTAAAGTTAGGGGATAGCTTTAGGAGTAAAATTTATATAAGAGGGTAAATAGAAACCAAAATTTTATTTAATCCGATTTTATTATGATCTGCGATATTAAATGCATCAAAAAAAAAGAAAAAAACTCAGGAAATCAAACCTGTGCATGGTGAGAATCAATTGTTGTTTTAGCCTCTCCTGCTTCAAGAAAAGTCCATTTTCTAACGTGAATGTTGTACCATTCCTTCCATCGACCCATAATTATCATTAGATCTGCGTTATGATAGTGGGGTCCATTATCTGATAAAAAAGTAATCCATTCTGGCCGAGGATCAAGATTAGTTATTGCGGCATGCAGCGAAGAAGCTGTAAACCATGCATCTTGGCGCGAATCTGTTGACCAATGATCAAAAGCACGAACTTGCAAATTATTATGATTAGGCAGGCGAGTATATACCAATACTGAATGCAGTAACCACCCTTTTTTTCCAAAAAAATCTTGTTTTGTTTCACGCGTGCTTTTAGGTAAAATTTTCATTTTGTAGTCTACGATAATTACGGCACCTTTTTCATCAAGCTCACCTAATTGGGCATATAATTGTGCGTTTAAATACACTTTCCTAGTTTGATATGCCAAATAATATAGTAAGTATTCTTGTAGCTCTTTTAATTCCATATGAAGGTCAGATGGTAAATGTTCTTGAATTTGCCTAAATAGATTAAAAAAAGCTCCACAACGATTACAGATTAGATCATGAGATTTTAAGCAAGTTCCAAAAGCATAAAGCATACAATGATTAATACAAGTATTATGTTTTGTATAACCAAAAAAATCAACTATTAACTCATTTTCATAATCTTTTTTTAAATATCTTTGCAGGTCACTACATTCGGTTATCAATTGCTCCTTATTATTGTTTAATTTATCAGTTAGTGTATATGAATTTCAAAAGATTTGACACACTAAATAATATATTTCGAATGTTGTCTGAGGCTTTCACGTGATTTTGCGGACATGCATGTCCGCAAAATCACTTGATAAATATCAAACAATACGTCAAATAACATTCGACAGGAATTATAGCAGATCTAGTGGTGTGAGCGCAATGTCGTATTTGTTTTTACAAAAACTCAATTATATCGTGATCCAGTAGTCCAAATTGGATGATTTTGATATCATTCGATTTGTCTCGATGAGATGAATCGAATTGTACAAAAATAGTCCAATTTGGATCACTGAATCACATGATATTTACAAAATACGATCCAATAAATTACGGCATTGTTTGCCGTAATTTGCCACAATTCATTAAATCATTTTTAGCGAAAATCTTGTAATCCAGTGATCTGAATTGAGGTACCATTCGATTCGTCTCATCGAGACGAATTGAATGGCATCAAAATTATCCAATTTGAATTACTGAATCACAATATAGTTGAATTTTTGTAAACAAAACAAAAAAAAAAAATAATAATTACGGCATTGCGCTCACATCTCTAAGCAGATTTGTTTGGTATGGGCCCGATTTTAAAAGTTATACCATATCGATCAGCTTGCAATTCCTAACTCTAACGCCAATAATATAATACCGGATCAGTCTGGTATGGTATTAAAAGTTTGGCCTGTACCATACGGATCTGCTCACCCATGCCATACTGATTTGTGTAATATAGATTTAACATGTTGAATCTTCTAATTTGGAAAGGTGCACCGTAAATCGCCATGTGGAGTACCTGGTATGTTACATTCCACTGATTAAAAACATATACTGTACCCGAGGGTATACTGCAAGGAAAGAGGTATGATAACTAGAGGGTTTCTACTTGTTCTGTATAACTTTCATATAAATCACTGGTTAATATATCTTACATTCCACTAATATTTCAACCTTGCAATATACACAGGCCTGAAACTGGGGTATACCGTATTTTTCGGTGCAAGGTACCCGGGTATTTTACATTCCACGTAACAACAAACCTTGATTTATACCCTGGGTATATTGTATGGCAGGGGATATATTACATGGGGGTATCTTGTAAGGAGCGTATATTAGCCCATAAGTAAAAAAAAATTATTACCGGTATTAGTAAATCGGCCTTTGATTTGTACCCGGGTCTCTTACAAAACACCACAACAAATAGCCTTGAATATACCCAGGTACAAATCAAGGGGAGTACCTTGCACCGAAAAATACGGTACTATCAAAGGGGGTACTCTATATGGCGATTTATGGTAATTTTAATAATGTATAAATTACCTGATAATCCAAGTCTGCATGATATTGTATTAACCTTCGAAGTTCATCAAACGTTTCATATCCATACATATTGCAGATTGAGCATAGACCACCTAAGTCTTCCTTATATATATATTGTCCACCTTCTAAATATTTATAAAAACTTGTTCTTTTAACACCATCAGGGTACTCTTCATTAAATCATTCCCACAATGCCTCTTTATTATCTTTTAAATAATGTACAGGTAATCCAGTGATACTGTCTGTTTTATAAGAACTCATTACTACATTTGCTTTATTTTGAAAAAAAAACTCAATCTGTTCTTTTTTTTCAGGTCTCAACTTTTCTCGAGTAACCTTAGGCTTTTCTAATTGGATACCTCCTGGACCATTAATGCGTGCATAATGACGTGCTTCAGTAATTAGATAATTCGAAACCTAAGATAAATTTTCAGTTATTTAAATTTTTGTTCAATCATTTTAATACATTTATATTTTTTCCAATACTAACAGATAATTTTTCTTTTATTATATTATAGGGAAGTTTATCAGCGATGATAGATAATATTCTTCTTTTTCCATCATTTCTACGAATATTACTATCTAGAGCGTCCTGGAATGCATTCCAAAATTGATCCACGATATTTTCGTAATTCCCAGGAGTAGTTTGAAGATATTCACATTCATATAACTGCTTTAAAATAGCTTGGTCTTTAGCTGAGTCCTTTGATCGAGTCCAAAATTCAAACTACAAAT